ATTGTTTTCCATTTTGTCCAATTACGCACGTTGGCATCAGACTCGCTATTTGTCTGTAGTGTGTGCCGTGAAAGTTGTTCTGTGTTCACATTGGCTGGCAAGATGCCATTCTAAGGCTATGGCCGAGTACCATAACTATTTCCATAACCAAACACTGGGGAAAGATACGTTGTCCTGACAAGTATTATATGATTCACCAGTTTTCGGGGAATAACTTATCTGCGTCGCGAATATTATCTCTGTTCAACCAGGCTGGGATTTTGTGTGGAGACTTGCTGCGTTATTAATGAGAACTAGGATCTTAATTCTTTTTTCAACAAAATAACTCCAGTGTAATTTTTGTAGCAGATAATTTCTATTTTCCCCTGTCTGAAGCATAATTATTTTGTTTTTTAAATCGCAGTCACCCATTTGACACAAAAGGAACTGCAATCACATCGCAAAAACTATAATTCTTAGGGACTGGTCAAATACTTATAGGGGTGGGTTTGCTGGTTGGAACTGTATCACATTTTGCTGTCAAATAGTATTGTTGTTAAATGATATGGTACATTTTAAAATTTATTTTGACCTCAAGCGGTGCCTCCATTTCGCTTGATTCTTCTTCTTCATCTTCACTGGAAGATTGTCTTGCAAGATGTAAAATCGGATCGTATTGATACGGTCTAACATCCATTTCAGAAATGACATCAGGAACACCTTTTACTACTTCAGAATCCATGGACACTGTTAAGTTGTGAGGTAAAATCAAAGAGACAGCCATCAGCAACAGGCACTTATGACGTCATGTCACGTGATACCCCCTCTGCTCATTAACTGTCGGGTGTTTCCGTAAAAGGCGGAAATACGAGTACGTTTTTTGTGTTTTTTATTGCTATTTTACAAACTTTTTGTTCAATTTTAATCACGGAAGGTGACTTTTAGAATATCCTTTGCAATATATCAAAAGTTTGGTTTCGTTCGGATTCTCCTTTAATCCCTGCATATAATACAATGCAAAGCAACAACTGAAAGGGTAAACAATCTTGTCTAGTGATGTTTAATTGCAAATTTACTGTCTTTACTTACTAAGTCGTCTTCTCTTGTTTGTTCACTAAAAGCGATGTGTAATGTCGTTTTCATACCCCTGCAAAACTTTTCATGAAAGTGTAACCCGTAAATACGCCAACCCCCTTCTACAATCCAAATTGAGGGGCCCAGATCTAAGGAATTTCCCTATGCTGCTGCTGTTGCAGCATGGGAAACTTAGAAAGAGAGACGTTTATTTCACAAGTGTTGAGCCAAAGGCCAGGTAAGAAAATTCATGTGAATAGTTAAACATTGTTGTGACGGCATCAGCATTACAGTAAATACCTATCTTTGGTCAATATGTGATGCCCCCCTAATAGGTGTCATGTCCCCCTCTTTTGTAACAATTAAGGGGGATGTCACCCTTAATCCCCAATTCCTGGATGCAACACTGGTGCTCTATGTTTAGTTCAGGGAATAAAATTCCCAAATTCCCACCACGGAGAGGCGTACATTATGAGGCCCGGCGTACATCATTATGCTCTGGTGGCCAATATTATCATTTCTATTTATTATTCTGCCGTTTTTGTACCATACATATCTCCTGAACCAGTGCTCAGAATCGCTTAAAAAAAATGTGCTCACTGTGTTGAAGTTGATTCCTCAAAATTCACAAGCCCAATAACAAGGGTAAAATTAATTAAGGATCACTAAAAAGCACCATTTGGCAGCTGTGGCTCTTAAGTTTTTAGCCTCATTTCTAATGGTTATCTGAGTAGTTTGCTCCCAAAATATTCTGAGCTCAAACGATCATCTCCAGAGTTCCAAACCTTCCATAGCTGATGTCCAGTAACCATTGTGCAATTTGTGCACAAAAAGTGCCAAGATGTGCCTTCGATGGCCACATATTGAGTACTCTTTAAAAACTTTCCAAGACTTCTTCACAAATTTTTCAAAAGCTAACTTACCGGTACCAGGGAAAAGTCTGGAAGAAGCTGATTCTGATGTCGCCTTTGGTTGCTGTACATTTTCTGTTCTTAGTCATGTCAGAAGTCACATGGTTTAGTGGCCATATTGGATTAAAGATGTTCCGAGGAAATTTGCAGTTTTTGAGGGTTAGCCTTTTTTCCGCATTCTGTAGCTCTGAATGTATGAGCTGCAGAAATTTGATAATTTGCACACATAACGTCCATACCTCAAACATGAATAATCTGGAACTGTGTTTCGATATTGTGATTAGTTATGGATATCTAGATGTTTGTTTCTGTTGTTTATGTTCTAAACTTAATTTAATTTTTTTTTGTATCTTCTTTGCTACCTTAGATACATTGTTTGAATTTACCAGTACGGAGTAGCTTGTTGTACTGAACAATGTGAATCGTTATTAGATGCCATATAGTTCTTTAAAAACTGCGTAGCTGCTCAGATTCGGTTCAAAAGTGCTGAAAATGGACACATCAGTATCAGACTCTCAGCATTTCATATTCTTAGATGCTTATCAAAAGTTGTCATTGTCGTGCTGATCATTTTCGATACTAAAGGGATCTTTCCAGTCGTTTGGCCTCCATCTTGGATTTAAGGTTTGTTTACTTCAGGTTGCCATAGCAACAAAAGTTGAAAAGTGAATGACTTGCTATTTACAGCATTAGTAGGCAAAATGGGATGGTTACTGCAAAATCGCAGCATTATACGTCCAATAGTTCCGGAGAAAATAGGAAAACAGTTCCGTGGACATGCATGTGACAGATGGTGGACATGGTTTTCGCCAAGTTTGACCATCACATATGATACATTAAGTCTGGGGAAATCAGAAACACTAATTATCCCCTGCAGCAACGAAGTTGCGGGGGATATAGAAACGAGTTCGTCCGTCAGTGCGTCCGTCACAATTTGTCCGAAGCATATCTCCTTAACTATTTGTGATTACTTAACCAAACTTGGTACACATGGTAACAATGAGCCCTAGATGTGCTTTTCGGGGGGTGCGACCCAGATATAAATTATATTTTTGGCTGTTTCCATGGAAACATGGTTTAGGCTGTGACTATGAGGATGTCATCTTGTCCAGAGCAGATCTTCCAAACTATACATGCTAGCTTCATCAAACTTGCTTCATATGTCAAGCATGATCCATAGATGTGCCTTTTGGGGTTTAGACCCTGATATGAATTTTTACAACCGAGTCTGTGAGCCTGACCACCCGATCCCGTTAGTCGCCTCTTACAACAAGCATGGGTTACTGAAGATCAATTCTAACCCTGGATCTTCACAGGTGATGTTTGTTGCCATAATTTATTTGTTTCACAGTAGTAGTATCTTTATGAAATAATGTGGTGATCAGTTTTTTGTAAAATTACATTGTCATTTTGGCTTCAGTGAATAAGATTTTAAAACTCTTATATGCCACTGTCCATTGCATGCTGTGGGCAGTTGCACAGATTGGATGTAACACATATACGATCCCTGAATGAATGAAAGTGACATATTTCTCCAAAATGTTAATTTGGGCTAAAATGTTGTGGTGTTTGTAAGGTTGTAACAGTTCAACATTTTAATGATCATGAAACAATATGAATTATCAGTATGATGACGATGATGGTTTCAGTTCTTCACCAGTGAAACCACTGTATCACAGTGCAATACAATTCAATTTATCTGCAACAGTAAGTGTTAACCTTTCGGCACAAGACCACCCACAGTTGCATGAGCTGACTCAGTGCTAGCACATTTATAACTTTAATTTCCACATGAAACAGGCTACAGAGGTACAGATAAGCTGTGTATCTGCATAAATTATGCAAATATTTATGTGAAAACTCAATTCCTATTAAGTCTATTGCGTACAAGTACACTTGAATTTTTTAAAATACTCAATAAATTTTATCTTTTATGCATACACACAAAATAGATAAAATAACTGAGGTGTATTGAGAGGTTCTATTTCAGCACATGAACTTGGCAACTTGCAGTCTTCCTCATCGTTTCTCATATTACAGATCAAATATGAATAACAAACAAGTAAACCAACTTTATTATATTTGTACAATTAATGAAAAATGCCAAAATACCCAATTGAGTTTGAGTGAGGTGGGTACAATTTATTTGATTACTCAAAGGAAAATTAGGATACCCTGTTGAGATGAACACAAGCGAGTACATAACTCAAAGATGAGTTACTAGTGCAAACATTGCACACAATTATAACGATGATAAAATGATATAGAGCCTAAATGTGGAATGTCTAATAGAAGTATTGCATCAAAGTTTTCCGAACATAATGATAAAGGTTGCCCTGCTCTAAGGCTATACTGAATGCTGAGCCCATGGATGTATAGAAATTCTATCCTTTGGAGAGGCAAGTCGAGATAAGCAGACAGTTAGGACCTCAGTCTGTTATTTATAATTTTTTAGAAATTATCATTTAAACTATTAATTGTGTAAGTCTATGATAAAGGTAATGGTATAACATGATTTGAGGCCACTTAATTCCTCCAAAATGTCACATATGAAACTATTCAGACCCACAAGACTTAGAGCATTTGATAGAATATTTGGCACTTTTGGAGCCACTTATAAAGATGCTTACACTTGTAGAATGTTACATGAAACCAACAGAAATAGAAGTATATTTGGCACTTGCAGAGCTAAATCAAGGGCAGATAATTCAATGGGAGCTAACTCTGGATGACCCAATATATTGCAGAATCTGAACCATATTGTGATATTCGTATCGCAAGATACTCTACCAGTATATATATATACCGATTTACCAGTAATATTGCACAGCCCTAATAACAATCATGTCACTATGATTTCCAAGGAATGAAAAAAGAGAGCCACATGCTGGTTCAGAGTACTGTTTTTGTGCGTTTTGGATATAAGTAGCATTTTTACTTAAGTTTATGTTTCCATGATCTTGTTGCAAAACAAATACATTTCTCTGTCATTTCAAAAGATCGGAAGTGTGAAGATGGTTATTCTTATTTTTTCAGGACCTATGACTCCGTTGAATTCAGCACTGGACCTTTCTTGAATGTTATCATTGGTCCTAATGGTACTGGGAAGTCAACTATTGTATGTGCAATATGCCTAGGTCTTGCTGGGAAGACAGCATGGCTTGGCAGAGCCAGTCAGCCCGCAGACTTCATCAAGTATGGCCACGAAAGAGGAAAGATAGAGCTTGAATTGTGAGGAGATTGAAGCTAATATTGCAACAGTTAATCTATCAGTAATGCTACAGTAAATTTGTTGAAGAAAGTGATATTTTCATATGATAATGAGTAAATCACTTTTCTTTGGGTACATGAAAAGATGCTTTTTCTGAGAGTTCTGAAAGTTGTAATTTTCTTTAATTCCTTTACAGTTGGTATTTCAGGTACTGGCAATATCATTATTAAGTATAACTTGTATTGCTGATACATCTTTATCTTGCAGGTACAATCCTAAGGGTGAAAACCATATCATCCAGCGAGAGATTCATAAGGATAAATCGCTGTGGACAGTAAATGGTCGAAAAGCTAACATAAAGAGTGTAAGTTAATGCCATTATATGATGTAAACATATATTTATTCATTGAATGAATAGAGATAGCTCCCATACAAAATAATATGTAATACATGGTGTGATGTTAGAACATATACTAAGCAGCAAAAGAAACGTCAGTTTGGAATTTTCCTTCGCAGAAACAGATAACTGTAAACTCATTTAATGTTTTGATTGTATATTTTTGACAACATCTATAACTTTACCTGAGCAACGACATTCCTTCCCAAACTCAGAATGGAACCCAGGAAATGGTCTCAAAAACGCAACCTGATCTCGGGGATGGTACAGTGTTTTCCATGGTTTTCATGCAACTCATGCTGCACGTGCTGTTCACAAGGACCAGCCCTATAAAATGCACCCCTAAACCTGGTTGAAACATTCACATTACAAAGTCAGCAGGATGCCCCTTCTCACGACAACTCAGAGGAACCAGGCACTAGGAAGACCTGAAGCTGGCCACACTGCCCAAGCCATTGCCATCACTTCCAGGTCAATGTTTGGACCATCTACAGGCTGCAGCAACGTTTCCAGGCTACCAACACCACAAATGATCGCCGCCGTACTGGCAGACCAAGGTGACCACAAGAGGACAAGACCGCCATGCAGGCATCCGAAACAGCACGCCAGACAGTGGGAACACACGGAAGACCAATCAGTACTGATACAGTATGCCGACGTCTTAACAGCGGGAACCTCCATTGCCGTAGACCTTACCGTGGACCTATCCTCACCCCTCGTCATCGGCGTGAACGTCTACAGTTTGCCCTACAACACCCAAACTGGCCATACAGGCAATGGAGAACTGTTCTTTTCGAAGATGAGAGTCGGTACTGTGTATCAACTGCAGATGGCAGAACAAGAATATGGCGACGACGTGGCCAGCGTTACTCAGACCAATGTGTTATGGAAAGAGACTCAAGGGGAGGTGCTATCATGGTATGGGGTGGAATAGGCCTGAACCAGAGAGTGGGTCTTGTGGTGTTCCAGAACCTTGGTCCAGGGAGAGGATGTGGCATCACAGCAGTGCGCTACATCGACCAAGCTCTCAGACCCCACGTCATTTCACATTTCGCACGTCACCGGAACAACATTTTCCAGCATGATAAGGCCCGGGCCCATACTGCCAGAGCTGAATAATGTCATACCAAGGCCGAACACAGCAGGCCTTTTCTCAGAGTGAGGTTCAGTGGGCTTCATCAATCGATTGGTGCACTCCATGCATAGATGCTGTGCTGCAGTTAATGCCGCTCTTGGTGGTCACACTAGATACTGAAGTCATGAGTCTGAATGGACTGCAAACGTTCACGTAATGTCTTGGAATTGTGCTGAGTTATTCATTGATGTGTCAAGATATTGTACACAAAAAATATTTTTGATCCGCTTATTATGTCAATTCCTGTAATGATTTGATTACAGTGCCTATCTAATTTTGAATTCGTACTGACAGGTTTTTTTGCTGCTGAGTATATGTGTATATAGTAGTTTCCAATTGTATATGAAAACTGTAATTCAGAAGTATGTGTAGTATGTAGTTGTTTTTTCCCATATCTAAATCCTTTTTGGACAGTTTTGTTTTTGTCTTGACAGTTTATTTTTGGGCATAATCCAAATTGATCTGTCCATCAGTACGAATTGGAATATCTTCAGAACCATAGACTGGATTCTTTTCATACTTGGTACCTAGGTTCATCACAGTATGGGAAAGGTCCCAGTCAGGTTTGGTGACCTTGACCTTCATTTAAAGTTTTTCCCTTGTCAGCGAGATATTCCAAGAACCGTTTACTGGATTTTCTTTATATTTGACATCAAGCTTCATATAGGGAAGGCGCAGGGCCCAGTCGATTTTGGTGACCTTCCCATAATTTTCAAGGTCGCGACGACACTTTGAAGTTTTAAGTATGTTAAGATTGTCAACAAGATATCTCAAGAATGGTTCACTGGATTTTATTCATAGACTTTCAAGACTACTCTTGAATGTTTTTTGATAAGCAATTTCTCATACACCATGACATTCATGTCAAGGTCAAAGTGAGTCTTGAAAATATTTGTCTGTTTGGAACAGCTACAGAGCAGAGCAAGATATCAAGAGAGGTTTACTTGTCATGTTTTTGTTGACTTTTAACTTAATCTTAAACTACGACCTTCACTGTCATTACTCTTTAAGTTTGCGGTGGGGGATTATGTCACCTTAGTGAGAACTGCGTTGTTCCCCGCCGCAATGTGGAATGGGGGACTATGTATTCAGCGGCTTCCGTTTGTAGGTCCCGATTCTTGTTAACGCGATATCTCATGAACTGTTGTACCCAATGTCTTCAAAGTTGGTGACAGCCTACATTGGAGGATTACCCAGACACTAGTTTATTTGGGTGACCATGACCTTATCTTATCACCACGAGACTTTGACCACTTTTCAAACTTATTTAAACGCAACATCTCATAAAACATTGCACCCAATGTTTTCAATTATGTTGACAGCCTACATTGGGTGATTATGCAGACACCAGTCATTTCAGGCATCTTGTATGTGACCAAAAAATAAAAAGTAGTAACATATAGATATTCTTTAGCGGCGGGGAACATTGCCGTATCAATGGCAAACACTTGTTATTGCAGCTTTATGTCTGTATTATGCTTAGCATATATGCATTGCATATGTTTCATTACATGTCGCCCGATACTGCTCACTTTTGCAGTTTAAAAACTGCACAGGACCTCACGACTGTTGCCTCAGATGTCTGGCGGAGGAAAGCCATGGCGATCATGTATGCCTAGGGTTTACCCCTAAGACCCAGAGAAGCAGGCATGCAGATCTTCTATCCTACTTGAACCTGCTTAGGGCAGAGACCCCCTCCGTGGTGTAGTGGTTAGAACGCCCGCCCGGAGAGCGGGAGGTCGCAGGTTCGATCCCCGTCCATGTCACACCAAAAGACATTAAAATATGGTCCTTGTTGGTCCCTGCCTGGCTCTCGGCATTAATGGGTACAACAAGGACTGCTCGGCTCGGAGTCGGTATAATGTGTCTGAGTGGGGTATTCATGCTTCACTGCGGCATGGTATCTCAGTTAGCACTATAAAACCAGCTTCAGTCTGGGCTAGTACAAGCAGCCGCACATACACATACACATACACATGCATGCATGTCGTCATGTGAGCGAAATATTCTCAAGCAAGACGTTAAACCCAATTTCACCTGGGTGATATCTGGGGTCATGGCCCTCCCCCAAAGAAATCGCACAAAAATAAAGCTTCTTCTACTGCTTCCTCCGCCCCTTTGTAGGCTCGGGCTAAGAAACCCAAGTTACCAAAGACGTCCCATCCACTCCTGCTCCTACTCTCCCCACACAAACTGTACCTGCTGCACCCAATTTAACATTATATGCATTTTAGTCTCTTTTACAGCAGCAGATGTCGTCGGTGAAATCTCTTATCGATGATGCAGTGTCCGTGCTCTGGCAGGAGCTTGGCCACCAGTTGGTAATTAGAGATGGATCCTGCGCATCGTGGTGGGAGGTTGGTCTTTCCAATCCGAGCAATCCAATCTTGGTTCCACTCGATCCTAATTGGAGACCACTCTCGATTGCAAGAGTTCATTCCTCAAGTAGCGCAAAGAGGAGGATATGGAGTAGGATAAGGGAGAGAGGGACTGGGAGGCGAGGTCTTGTACTCATTTGGGTCGACCTTGAGGCAGGTTCATAAACGTATCACCACCGTTCTGCCGCAGGGGCCAGATCTGGCGGAATTCCGCCTTCCAGGTGAGGCCTTTGCGTCCAGCAAGACTGCCAAGGTGAGGCTCTGCATCTTGCTATCTCTGGTAGGTGAGGTGATCGACCCACTTCTTTTGGGTATCCAATCAAGCTTTGATCTCCCCCGATATTAGTCATCGGTATCCAATGGGGGAGGACAGCTTATTCGAGCCTTCAGTGGTGGATGAGTGTGTTTATGCCTTGGTCACACTAGGTGGGTCCTTGGACTAAACCCTGGCTTTGGCCAGGCAGGGCCGACAGCTGCCAGTGTTTGACCAACACTCAGACATTGAAGGTTGCGTATTGCTCCTTTGAGGAGCAATATAGCAATGCTTTTCAGCAGCTCTGAGTGGTGGTCCACTCAGCGTACATCACTGCCTTGCTCTGGACAGTATTTGTGCCCTCATGGGCCTGCAAGCTACCTTCAGCCACTCAGCAGGCACTGCTCTATTAGCCCAACAAGATGGGGTCTACCCTCTTCCCTAGGGCATTGAGGGTGGTCTGAGAGGCCGCGGAAGCGGTATGTACCTTTAAGGACTGTAAGCCCTTAATGGAACAACCCTTCACTTCTTGCCATCGGCCATTGGTTCTTGCCACTTCTCTTTCTTCAGCGCGGCGAAGGAGTCTGTTTAATGGACTGTTCCATCACAGAACAAGAAGGCTAGAGGCAAGAGCAGGGCAGCTGGGTCCCAACAGCCTTTTTGGGGGAAGGGGAAGCCTGCCCCGTCTTCCCGTTAACTATACCTCGGGCGACCTTGGTGACCCTAAAAGGGCTGAACAACATGATAGATGTGCCATCTTTCAGGCTGGAGACACTGTGCTCAGTGATTTCATCCATCAAGGCAGGGGATTGGCTATTTTTGGAATTCTCAATAAGATGTTTTTTGCATTTCCATGGCATAAAGTTTGGCTTCGACTGAATTTGGTGGTAGTGGTCTTTTCTGGAGCAGAACTTAAAAAACATTCAATATTGGCACATAGACAGACCTGGTGGTGTACTAGTGACTTTTGATAGTTTTTGGAATTCTGAATAAAATATTTGTTATCGTGTTTTGCGGGGGGTATTAAAATGGACTCCGTGTGTCCGTCTGTCCGTCCGTGCACATTTGTCTTTTCCGGAGCAGAACTCTAAAACCGTTCAATATTTCTTCACCAAACTTGGCACATAGAGGGGGAATTCCATAGTAATTCCTGTTTTTATGAAAAACTTACGAGTAATATCATGAGTTCTTTTCAATTTGC